TCTTCTCTTTTGTTTGGGCAAGTGGTGAAAAGTAGCACAAGGACGATAAACGCGCGGACTCGTTCGCGATTTGAAGTTTCAGGCACGAAGCGCGAGATGAAGAAGTGAAGGGGCGCCGAAGCCAGGATCGAAGAGGCAAACTCGCGCTCAAGAGCGAGATCGAGCTCGCGGGCGCGTTGAGATCGGAGATCCTCCGCTCACGGTTCCCAGCCCTTGATGTCTGCCTCGCCCTCCCCACTCTTCCCTCTCACACCTCATCTCTCATCTTCACTCTCCCCCCCTCCTTCGGTGGGAGTGTGGGGGGGGGGATGAGTTAATGAATTGGCAGTGAGGGGAGGTAGTGGGGAGCAGAATGCGAGTGGGGGGCACGGGGCACGGGGGCGCGCGCGCGCGCGTCTCGAGCGTCTCAGGGTTCAGGAGCAGGCGCGACCTGGGCGGTCACCCCAGGCGCGCCAGGGCGACCTAGGTGGCGACCCCAGGCGCCCCTCTCCCCACCCCTCCGTCCCTCGCTCACCCCTCTCCCTTCCCTTGTCCATGCTCGTTGCTCAGATTACACACGCAGGCACTGGCGCATTCACGCATGCACGCTGTCTAAACGTGCAGCTGGTGGGGCCACTGGGGTGAATGTCCACGGGGCATCTAGGAAAGCCACCATTTAGAACTGGCGTGCGCCCATCCGTGCATGTGTGAGAAGCTTTGGCTTTGAAGACGACCGCTCGCAGAGCCGAGTGGAACGCCACACGCTGAAAACGACCCCACCTGCAAGCGTGCGCGGCGCTCGGGCGGACGCCACAGCTTGAGAGCCATCCTCCCTCCAGTCGTGCAGCTTCCCAGGGGGGAGCCCCACTGTGTGAAGGCCCACCGTCGTGAGTATCCCGATCGACCGACGGCGGGCCTGTGGCCGAAGCAGCCTGGCAAGGCTGGGCAGCGTCCCCGCGGTTCCTAACCTCTCCTTCAACGGCTACGCCGGATAGCCCGAAGCTCGAAGCCCTGGGGGAGCCCTACGAGTCAGAGCCACTACAGTCGGGGCCCTGAAGAAGGAACCCTTTTCGTTGGGGAGGGGCTCCGCGTTCCTTATGTGTTTCACAGCTTACCTCAGGTGTTCCTTGTGTTTTCGATCGGAAATCGAAGCTTAACTTATGGAAGAAAAGGGGCCTCGTTCCTTATTTAGGGTTCCTTAGGTCAACGCCCCGACTGTACGTCGGATAGCTCAAGGCTCGAAGCCCAGGGGGAGCCCTACGAGTCAGAGCCACTAGTCGCGAAGCAGCTCGAGCCACGACGCCCGGACCGCCCCCGCCGACACGCCTAGATGGTGCGAGGGTGGGTGTCGGGAGCCGGGCGACGGTTGGCAAACCCGTGGCTGCCACAGCGGAGCTCCGGGGAGCTGTCTTTCCCTACCTGGGATCTGCCTAGAAGGGTTCTTAAAGTCTTACTCTGTGTGCTTAAAGGGCCGGGCAGTGGGGCACGCCCCGGGCGGTTCCCCCGGCATCCGCCCCGCGGTTCCCCCAGTGACGTTCCCCTAGTTTAGCGTTGCTTATCTCATCTTAGCTTAGCTTATTTCATCTTAGCCTAGCTTCATCTTAGCTTAGCTTAGCTTCATATAGAGGTTGCTTTCCTAGATCCTCCAACTCCTAGGTAGGGTCGCACTGGGATCATTTTTTCTGCCGGGAAGCAGCCCGTTCCCTGCACCTCTTTCTTCCATACCTTCCGACCTCTGCGGAGGGCGCGGAGGGTGATTGAACTATTGAAAGCCTCGGGAAGCGCAAGAAAACTCCGGGGAGTTGTTTTTGTTTTTTCTGTCGGGAAGCAGCCCGTCCTCTGCACCTCCATCTTCCATACCTTCCGACCTCTGCGGAGGGCGCAGAGGGTGATGCATTGAAACTATTGAAATCCTCGGGAAGCGTAAGAAAACTCAGCATCTCACGAAGCGCAAGAGTGTGGAAGGTCAGCGCGGAAGGTCTGGATAAATCAGGGCGAGGGAAAACGGAGCTCCGGGGAGCTGCTTTTTTTTCTGCCGGGAAGCAGCCCGCTTACTATTCAGTGCGCTGAGCTTGATCCCGGGAATATGTTTTTTATTTCTTCCGGGAAGGCCGTTAGGGGGCCACATGCGAACCCTACCCCTACCCCCCACGATTTCTGAGGGGGAGGGTGGGGTCCACGAACGAAGTGAACCCCACCCTCCCCTTCAGAAATCGTGGGGGGTAGGGATAGGGTTCGCATGTGGCCCCCTAGCCGGTCCAGCAGCCACGGATGTGCCAGCCCTCGCCCAGCTGCCACGGGCTGGAGGGTCCTTCTGGTGGTTGGCTCTGCCAGCCCTACGTGGGGGGTCGGGAGGTCCCCGGAGAAGGCCGTTTACTATTCAGTGCGCTGAACCCTAAACCCTAAACCCTAGAATCTGTTTATTTCTTCCGGGAAGGCCGTTCCAGCAGCCACGGATGTGCCAGCCCTCGCCCAGCTTCCACGGCTTGGAGGGTCCTTATGGTTGGTTCTGCCAGCCCTACTCAGCCACGCGCAGAGGGGGGTGGGAGGAGGGGGGAGGGCTTCTTAGAAGCACCCTTGCTTCTTCGAAGGCGCGGGCCTTATCTACAGATGCATGGCCGGCGCCTTCTAAGAAGCAGCCTCCTTCTAAGAAGCCCTCCCCCCTCCCTCCACCCCCTTGTGCGCGCCGCCAACCTACAGGGGGGTCGGGAGGTCCCCGGAGGAGGCCGCGAGAGGGGGGGCCGAGGAGCGCGCGCGCGCGGGGCCGGCGGTGATCCCAAGGGGCGGCTCCACGAGGACCTCGGGACGGGAGAGCGTGGCATCGTTCGTTACCAGCCTGGAACATATCCCTATCCCTATGCTGGGCACCTCCTCATCACGATGCCAATCTTAGGGATTCCCTTATTTTTTGAGGGCGAATCCCTAAGATTGTCATCGCCTTTTGGCGTGTCAATCTTAGGGACAGGGATGCGTTCGAGGCTGGTAAGCTCGGGCGTGTGCATTTCTGTCTCGGCGAGGCCCATCGACGAGCATGTTGGGTCGTTGTTCCTGGAAAGTGCACGGGCGAGATCGAACAAGCAGGCACGGAGAGTGGACGTCCGGGCGAGGGCGATGGAAGAGGCGGGGAACAGCGTGCCACCTCTGTGTCAAGCAGTTGCGAAGCGTCCTGGCTCGCCTGTGGACCCATCACAGAATGTTCTAAGAACCGTTTGTGGTCCGCACGAAACGTTCTCAGAACATCTCTGGCTGGGAATGTTTTCTTTTCACACATCGGGTTTACTAGGAACCTTGTTTTTGTTCTCGGAACATCTTTGGGCTCTAAGACTCTAAGAGCGTGCCGTGGTAGGCCCATAGGAATGCCGGGACGGTCGGTCCCTTCTCAACGACAGTCGACCCGAATAGCAAGAATGGGCAACCGTCCCAAGGGTGCCCTCTTGTCGCAGGCCCAGAGGTTGACACCAACACCAAAATCGGCGGTGTGCCTCCACCGAGGGAGGAAGATCCCAATCTCGGCGATGGTGGTAATAATCCGGCTTCCAAGGTGACCGAAATGTTACCACCAACACCGAAATCCGGGATCATCTTCCCCCTGTGGAGGCAACCCCCTGTTTTGGTGTTGGTGCCCACTTCCAGGCCTCCAATCTTGCATCCTTGCCGCCCCGGCCCATCCTCGGCCACCCTCGTCGGCCGCTCCCCGCTCGAGAAGCCTCGGCGTGGCCCTCCGAGGCCCCTGCACCCTTGGCGCGCAGCCTGCCGCCGGAGGCCACGGCAAGTATACAAGAGCAGCAGCGCCGGGGACGCGCGCGCACGCCCAGCAGGCCCGTGCATCCTCGGCCTGCATCCCTCGCGCACATCCTCAGTGCGCAAGTACGATGGGCAGCGGGCCCGTGCATCCTCAGCGCGCATCCTCACAGTCCTCGATCCTCCTCCTCCTCCTCCTCCTCCTCCTCCTCCTCCTCCTCCTCCTCCTCCTCCTCCTCCTCGATCCTCCTCCTCGATCCTCCTTCTCGATCGACGCTCCTCCGCCTCGGGGCGTGACCCCCCCGAGCGCGTATACTGGTTGACTCTGCGTCGTGGCCGTCGGCCCATCTCGCCACCGCGCCCGGGGTCGGGGGCCCGAGGCCCTCGTTGGCCATCGGGGGGGGCAAGCCACCCGGGCCCGATGCCTGGCGCTGAGCGAATAGCCCTGGGCGTTCACTAGACATGGAGGGTTTCTCCGAAGGGCTTGGGCGGCCCGTCCTCCTCCTCCTCCTCCTCCTCCTCCTCCTCCTCCTTCCTCCTCCTCCTCTCCTCCTCCTCCTCCTCCCCTCCTCCCTTCCTCCCTCCTCCCTCCTCCCTCCTCCCTCCTCCCTCCTCCCTCCTCCTCCTCCCTGCTCCCTGTCCTGCTCCCTCCCCTCCTCCCTCCTCCCCCCCCTCCCCTCACTCCTCACTCCTCCCTCCTCCTCCCTCCTCCTCCTCCTCCCCCTCCCCTCCCCTCCCCCTCCTCCTCCTCCTCTTTCTCCTCCATCTCCTCCTCCCCCTCCTCCACCTCCTCCTCCTCCTCGGGTCGCCTACGGCCCCGGGGGGAACCGTGCAACTGAACAGCCCTGCCCTGTTCGATTGCCTTCTGTGGGTGCGTTTGCTGCACGGCGGCGCGTGCCGGGGTGCTTACTATGGGGGTGGATGTGTTGTGCTCTCTATGTGGAATTGCACACCGGGGGGGGGCGAATCTCAGCGGGGGGGGGCTCTGGGGCCTCCTCTGGGGCCCTGGAGGGGCACGCGCGTCGCTGAGGCGCGCCAGTGGGAACGCCCCCCGCTGGCACGCTCGACGGCGCGACGGTTGCGCGCGCAAGACGCCTCGGACAGGAGGAGGAGGGGGAGGAGGGGGAGGAGGAGGGGGAGGGGGAGGGGGGGAGAGCGAAGATGGAGGGGGGGAGGGAGTTGGAGGTGGAGGTGCATGACGAGAAGGGCGAGGGGGGATAGAAACGAGGGCGAGGCCGCAGGATGGGAGGGACGAGGAGCGGAACGGTTCGAGGGGGCAGGTCCGCATCGAGCGCCCGCTGCCATGGATGCAGCTCCACGTCATTAAGCAGGGCGAGCCCAAGGCCTGGCTTGGGGCAAACGGCGATCATCCATGTCCCTCCTCGCTCGCCCTTCTCCTCACCACGGTGCTCCTTCTCCTCGTCCTTCCTCCTCCTCCTCCTCCTCCTCCTCCTCCTCCTCCTCCTCCTCCTCCCGACCTCCCGACTTCCCGACCTGCACTTTTTGTTTCGCTCCTTCATCCTATCTCTCCCCCTCTCTCCCTCTCTCTCTCTCGCTCTCGCTTCTCTCTTTCTCTCTCTCTCTCTCTCTCTCTTTCTTTCTCTGTATCACTCCCTCTCTCTATCACTCTCTCTCTATATATATATATCCGTCTCCCTCTCCCTCTCCCTCTCTCTCTCTCTCGCTCTCTGTCGCTCGTTCTCATTTCTCCACTATCCATCACTTGTCTGCCCCCTCCGTCCTGTCTTCCCCTTCGCTCCCCGTAGTCCTCCCCGCTCCCCGCTCCCTGTCACAGCTCGTTCCGTCTCCACTTCGCTCCTCTCTCGTCGCTCTTGGTCATCCTCCGTGCCCCCCTCGCCTCGGCCTCCTGCCCTTCGCTCATCCATCCTCCTAGGAGTCCTTGCTCCTGCGCTGCCTCGTCATTACCCTTCCTCGTCGCCCTCCCCTCTTCCCTCCGAATCACCGTCAACATATCATCGTCACCCCAGCTTCACGTTTCCCCCTATCATGTTGTTGATGATGATGATGATGATGACGATGGTGTTGATGATGATGATGATGATGCTGGTGATGATGATGATGATGATGATGATGATGATGATGATGATGCTGATGCTGATGATGATGATGATGATGATGATGATGATGATTTTTGGTAATGATGCAAATCATGGTGGTGGTGCTTGTGATGGTGATGATGCTGGTGATGATGATGAGGAGGAGCATTATGGCGGTAATGATGATAATGCAATAGTGATGTTGATCATGGTGATGATGCTGCTGCTGGTGCTGATGATGTTGATGATGATGATAATGATGATGATTGGTGGTGGTGATGATAATGCGAACATGGTGTTGATGATGCTGTTGATGATGCTGATGATGATGTTGATGACGGTGATGACGATCATGATGCTGATGACGACGGTGATGATGATGGGAGCGGTGGCTCCGTCCGGCGAGATGGAGGGCTCTGCCGCTCCAGGCGCATGTCACAGGGCTCCTGCCCCGATGGCGCTTTCTCCCGCCGGTGTCGGGAGGGCGAGGACAGAGAGAATCGTCTCCCTGGTCCTGGTCCGCATTCTTCTGCCTACTCCAGCCACGCGCAGAGGGGGGCTCTGTCTCCGTTTTTGTTGCTGGTTGTGTCTCCTTTTTTTACCCAATTAGTGCTTTGCGCGCCCCGCCTAGCTCTTAACCGGAAGAGGCCCGCTCTCGACCCGCAGACCAAAAAAAAGTGCCTCCGTTTTTTGTTTTAGCCCGTGCCGCTTCCGGCTCCAATTCTGCAGCCTGCTCTTTTTGCCATCTTTGGCCTCCTCAGCCACGCGCAGATGGGGGTGGGGGGAAGGGGAAGAGGGCTTCTTAGAGGCAGCCCTGCTTCTTAGAAGGTGCGGGCCTCAGCTATCGATATAGGCCCGGCGCCTTATACGAAGCAGCCTCCTTCTAAGAAGCCCTCCCCCTTCCCTCCACCCCCTTGTGGGCGCCGCCAGAGGAGGGCGAGGCCAGAGATCACCATCTCTACTGTCGTGGTCAGCATCCTTCTGCCTACAGGGTCTGGCTCGAATGAGGAACACTTGCTCGTCACAAGGGGCTCGGTCGTTCCCTTGGGTTGCATGCGTGCCGCCACCTTCTTGGCGGCGAGCCCCCCTGGTGTTCCTTCGGACTTCCTGGACTTGCTTGTAAAAGCAAGGGGTTTCGTTTCTTATTTCATCGCTTCGCTCATTCCGCCGGCCTTGTAGCGCTATTTGGGGCCTCTCGGGGCCGTCTTGGGGGCCTCTTCGGGGCTTCTTGGGAGCGTCTGAGGGCTCCTTGGCGGCGTCTTGGGCTCCCCTGGGGCCTCTTGGGGGGCTCTTGGGGGCCTCTTGGGGCGGGGTAGTCGAGTGCACCCCCCTCGGAGGCCACGATCCTCGTGAGGGGTGTCAGGAAACGGCCCTCAAAACCATCTCTGGGTGGACTTGGTCGGGCTGAGGTCGGGAAAGTTTTCGCCGGGGGACCCCTGGGGGCCGCCCCGCGCGCGCGCGAACTAGAAATATTGTTAACCAGTCACCGGAGATCTGAGCACGCCTCTGACCCGTTGGGCCGGCGAATTTGCCGCTCCTCGGGTCACGCCGGATACTGTGCTCCCTCCTCCCTCTGCGGGCCAGTGGTGGGCGACAGCGTGAAGACCCCGGGCGGCACCTCGCGCGTGCGGCGGGTTCGCGCCGCGTCGGCGTGCGGCGGCGATCCCAGCGCGGGCGCTCGAGGTGAAAGCTTACGTCGGGCACGTCCCTCCACAGGAGGAATATTCGAGAATAGTCAAACAACAGTCAGGGGACGATTGTTTTTACCATGTTTGAGCATTTGGGGAAGATGTGTTGGGTATTTCTTTCGCCCTAAATCCGCCTGTAGGGGGACGCGCCCGACCTAAGGTTAAACTCGGCGGCGAGCGAGGGGGTGGGGGGATGAGAAGGAGAAGGCCTTCTCAGAAGGCGGCGGGACTTCTCAGAAGCCCTCGCGCCGTCTGGTTTTGGGCATCGTACGTTCTTCCAGCTGCTCCCCAAGGAGAGGAGGTTCTTCGATTCGCTGATCGAGGACAGGACCTCTGGTGTCCAGTCTACGTACACCGAGTTCCTGCAGCGGCAGCGGGGTGGGCGAAACTGGCAGCCGCTGCCAGTCCCGATCAGAGCAGGAGGAGGAGGAGGAGGAGGAGGAGGAGGAGGAATGTGGGGAGGAGGGCGAGAAGGAGAGGGGGAGCAGGAGGACGATGAGGAGGAGCAGGGAGGAGGAAGGAGGAGGAATGCGAGAAGAAGTAGGAGGACGAGAAGGGCATCGATAGGAGGAGGGAGGAGGATGAGGAGGAGAGGAGACCGAGGGAAGGAGATAAGAGGGGGGGGAGGGAGGAGGAGGAGGGAGGAATGAGGAGGAGCTGGGGGAGAGGAGGATCGAGGAGGAGGAGCAGGAGGAGGAGGAGGAGGAGGAGGAGGAGGAGGAGGAGGAGGAGAGGAGGAGGAGGGCGAGGAATATCAGGCAGGAGCAGGGACCGGCCCCAGCAGGCCGAGGAGGGAGCAGGCGAGGAGGGCCCCCGACCCTGGACGGCATGCGCCTTCTGCACCCCGGAGGCCTTGACCATTCTCATGGGAGACTTTGTTCACCTGTCCTCCTCCTCTTCCTCCTCCTCCTCCTCCGCCTCCTCCTCCGCCTCCTCCTCCTCCTCCTCCTCCTCCTCATCATCATCATCATCATCATCATCATCATCATCATCATCATCATCATCATCATCATCATCATCATCATCATCCTTTTCCTCCTCCTCCTCCTCCTCCTCCTCGTCCTCCTCCTCCTCCTCCTCCCCCTCCTCCTCCTCTCGCTCGTTCCTCCTCTCGCTATCCCGGAGGCTTTGTCGATGTCTCCGCGGGGCCCGGCAATGGCCTGGAGGCAGGCAGCAGCAAGAGATCTCCAGCTGGGCCTCCGCCCACACCGCGGGGGGGTGTACGGGGAGGGAGGGGGATGCTCGAGGATCGAGGCTCTTGGGCACCCCGCTCACCCGTCTCTTCCTCTTTGGCCCTTTGCCTGTCCACCCCGCTCACGCGCCTTCTCTCCGCCGTCCAGACGCACCCCGATCTAGCACAGACGCCCCCCCCCCCGCATCGTACATCCCCGAACTGGATCCCAGATTCCAGTCCAGGGTCCCTCGGAGTCGGGTCGGGGATTGGTGTCGCGGAGACCCTTCTTGCTTGCATGTCGCTCCCCTCCTCGCCCCCCCGCCAGGCAATGCCAAGCGGGGCCACCACCAGGGGGGTCGCCGCCCCCCCCTCCCCCAGGAAGCGAACCCCGCAGGACCCCCCAAAGACGCCTGAGGGCGCCCTGAGAACCTCCTCGATCCGCGATTGCTCCCTCCCTCCTCGACCCTCGACCTCGAGCCCACCCCCCCCGCTCGATTGCTCCATCCGTCCTCCTCGATTCTCGACCCTCCCCCCTCCTCGATCCTCGACCCCTCCCTCCCTCCCCTCCTCGATCCTCGACCCTCCCGTTCCTTCCAGAGGAGCCGGTGCCCCCCCGCCCCCCGCGGGCCCCCCGCCCCCCTGGGGGGTGACCCCCCCCCCGTGGGGCCCGGGCCACCCGCGCGCCTGCGCCGAAGTTCGCCGCGCTTGTTCCCCCGCCGCGGCCTGGGCGAGAGCGGCCGCCCCTCCTCCCTCCTCCTCCTCCTCCTCCTCCTCCTCCTCCTCCTCCTCCTCCTCCTCCTCCTCCTCCTCCTCCTCCTCCTCCTCCTCCTCCTCCTCCTCTCTCCTCCTCCTCCTCCTCCTCCTCCTCCTCCTCCTCCTCCTCCTCCTCCTCCTCCTCCTCCTCCTCCGCCCCTCCCCCCCTCCTCCTCCTCCCTCCTCCTCCCTCCGCCTCCTCCTCCGCCTCTCCTCCTCCTCCCTCCTCCTCCTCCTCCGCCTCCTTCGTCCTCCCCTCCTTCGTCCTCCCCTCCTCCTCCGCCTCCACCTCCTCCTCCTCCTCCTCCTCCTCCTCCTCCTCCTCTCCTCCTCCTCCTCCTCCTCCTCCTCCGGCGATGAGGAGCCTCCACCAAAGCTTACTCCTCAGTATGTCAGGTTTGCTGCCAGAACTTTCAGCTGCAAAACTGCCTCGGGCACTGACCGAATACGGCCTCGTTCGATGGCGATGCTTTCGGATGAGTGCCTCACGGCATTTGCTGAAGTGATGCATCAAGCGGAATGCCTCGGCAAGTTACCTGAGCATTTACGTAACACTCTGTTGCCTCAGTTACCCAAGCCCGACGGGGGGCATCGCCTGATAGGTTTGCTCCCCGACGCGCTGCGCGTATACAATAAAGCCCGCAAGCCACAACAGGACAGATGGAATGCAGGGCATAAGAGACATTATGAATATGCCAGTGCTGGCCGCAGCACGGAACAAGCAGTTTGGAGGCAAGCCCTGATGGTGGAGACCACAAAGTCCATGGGTAAACACACAGCAGCGGTCCTAATAGACTTGGCCAAAGCGTTCGAGACCATCGATCATGATCTTCTCTGGGACTCTGCTGTGCGTCACGGATTCCCACGACGCAGAATGGCCATGCTGTTACATTGTTATGGGGGTAGAAGGTCCATCAAATTTGGATCCCACATGAGCAATGTTATCATGACCAACCGTGGAGTGATTGCAGGATGTGGTTTCGCTGTAAGCGTCATGAAATGTTTTACCATGGACATATATGACAGAATGTATTACCTATGGCCTAGTATCGACCTCTCGGTGGTAGTCGACGACTCCACCGTGCAGGCTGGAGGACAAACAAAGGACGTAGTCAAAACTGTAACTCAGGCAGCTCAGTTTGCTTGCGAACAATTCAAGCAGCGTAGAATGAAAGTTAGCCTGGACAAAGGTCAAGTAGTTGCTAGCCACGACAAAATTGCCAGGCAGATTGCGGTGCAGCTTTCATCTTATCGATTTCAGCCCAAAAGGATCGTCAAGCAGCTCGGGGTTGACAGACGAATGATGAGAGCTGGAAGGCCTGTTCAGAGCAAACGGGCCTTTAAAATGAAAGTTCGTATTACACGCTTTCGCAGGCTCGCGTGTGGAGGACGATCAGTGTGTCGGCTTTACAGAGCGGGAGGACTACCAGCTGTTACTTATGGGATGCGTGTGCATGGCGTTCCTGATGCGCAACTTGCTAGTCTTCGAGCCACCGCTGCCTTTGCTATCTTCGGGCCACCTCGTGGGCGATCTCGGACAGTCGAGTTTATGTTGTCTGACGACCGAAGTGCGACCCGACTTATGACGCCAACGCGCTGCCTCTGGTTACCTGGCTGAAAGCATTATGGCTTGGATGGGCCACGCCAAACCAGATGAAGATGGCCCACAGCTACGCGGTGAGCAGGCCGGCCAACTGGGGAGCAGTACTTGGACCAGCTGGAGCCGTACTCCTTACTCTTAAACGGCTGGGGTGGGAAGCCATCAGTTGGGACAAATGGTACATACCCAGTAATATGGCCAGCCTTATAACAGCACAGGGTTCGAGGCAGACTGCGATGCAGTCTGTCTCACCCCAAGGTCTGCTCATAGACTTGCATGAGATATGGGGTTCACACGCTGAGGAAGTTGGTGGACCAAGCCACTACTGCAAAGATCTTAAGCGAGTGCCGACTAAAAGGTTTCGAGGGAGTACCTCTACTTGAACCCGCTGCCAAATTGGTGAAAGAGCTCAGGGAAAAAGAAGATTACCAAGGTGCGGGTTTGATTCGGACATGGGTTGCAGGAGGGTTTTGGACGCAGGATCGCCTCTTCCGACATGGGGCGGCACCAAATCCCATGTGTGTCTTATGTAAACATGAAGAAGGTACCCCGTCACATCGCTTATATCGTTGTCTTTATCATGCAGCAGAAAGGCAAGATTGGCGCGGTGACGAACGTAGGCTACTCGCACAAGGGCGTGTGGAGCACGGTGACAATCACCCCATGACGTACATTACGTGCAAGGGCCTCTTCCCTGACCCAGCTTACGACCCGAATTACGGCTTCCCACCTCCACATCAGTATGACCGTGTTGTCTGGTTCCGCGAACCGCCCAATGGAGGGTTCGAAGGGCTGGTGTGCACTGACGGATCGGGGAAGCAAGCTCACCATCCTCTTCTGGCGCGTGCCGGCTGGGCAGCCGTCATGATCGATGATCGGGGCGGGGTGCTTGGGGCTGCATATGGCCCAGTACGTTTCCCATGGACGTGCTCGGGGGCAGGCGAACTGTGGGCAGCGATCATAGCGCTCCGACACAAGGGGCCGAGAAACATCGTCATAGTCACCGACTACCTGGAACTCAAGAAAGCATGGGATCGTGGCGATGGTTCAGGTGCTCACGTTCGAAATCACCTTGGGGAACTCTGGCGTGAATTCTGGCGCCTGGTGCACGACGTTGGGCGTGAAGGCATTGATGTGATCTGGATACCCAGCCACCGCAGCGATAGTCAGAGAATTCGTGATGCGATACCTCTGGCAATGTGGTTGGGCAATCAAGCAGCTGACGAGTTTGCCAAACAGGGCGCTTTGATGCGTCCCAAAAATGGGTATGCCGAAGCGCTTCGCCACGCAAGAGAGTGCTCTGCCGTTTTCACACTGCGCATGGCCCTGAGGATACTCAGGCGCTGCGCGAGCTGCGACTTCGCCGACGCTGACCCTGTTCCCTATGAAGGGCCCACTCGTGCAAGACCACTGCTGATTGACACGAGAGGGCACACTATAATAAAGCGTGGCATGAAATACTACTGCGACACCTGCGGTAGAAATCGACACACGCGCAGAGGTCTGCTGGCACAACCGTGTCAGGGGCTTCCGATGGGAGTGCGTGCTGCCCATAGCTCTCATAGACTATGGCGCAACGGGCTTCTTGTTTTCTGTGCCCAATGCGCTGCGCGATGCGAGACGCGCGCGCATCTAATCGCTAAGCCATGTATAGGACTTCCTGTACCTGGCACTAGCCGATTCTACAAACGCCGCTACCTGTTACAGGGCAAGGGCCCCAACGGGGAGCGGCTCGCCAACAGCGAGCGACCAACGCCTGTACGCCGCTGATGCTTTGGGCACCTGCCGTAGCTACTAATAGTGGCTGAGGTGCGTGCAGCGTTGCTGTTTTGGCCGCCCTGGCCGAAAGGGCGGGCCGCCTAGAGCACTTCGTTGCGACGCCGTCTCGCACCATAGACTGACTCCTGGAGGCCATCGTAGATCACATAATCTGTCGTGGTCTGCCGCCAGTGGGTTGTACAGTGGGTTGTACGTTGCAACTCTTACCATCCTCCTCCCACCTCCAGTGCACAGATCGGGCACCGTGATGGCTGTCACGGAGTCTGCGCTTGAAGCCTTTTGGCCCGAGAGGCTTTACAGAGAGACAGAGATCAGAACACACAGCGCCATGCCCCCCCAAGCCCAGCTCTAAGCATGCTGGGTTCGCTGAAAAGGGCTACACTGGCTCCTGTCGCCAGCTGGCCGCCGCTCTCGATCTCTCGCGGCAGCTGCACCAGTAATGATGTGTTGCATGGAGTGCAGGAGTGATCAATGCCACAAAGTGTGATAGCGCATAGACTCTATTAACTTTAAAGTTGTTGCATTGGCTTTTCACCCAGCTTGCCTGCGTGAATCGTCGTCATCGCCGAACCTCGCCGAACCTCCTCCTCCTCCTCCTCCTCCTCCTCCTCCTCCTATGCCTCCTCCTCCTCCTCCTCCTCCTCCTCTCCTCCTCCTCCTCCTCCTCCTCCGCCTCCTCCTCCGCCTCCTCCTCCTCCTCCCTCCCTCGCCTCCTTCGTCCTCCCCCTCCTCCTCGTCCTCCCCCTCCTCCTCCTCCTCCTCCTCCTCCTCCTCCTCCTCCCCTCCTCCTCCTCCTCCTCCTCCTCCTCCTCCTCCTCCCCCTCCCTCCTCCGCTCCACCTCCTCCCTCCTCCCCCTCCTCCTCCCCTCCTCCTCCTCCTCCTCCTCTCCTCCTCCTCCTCCTCCTCTCCTCCTCCCCTCCTCCTCTCCTCCTCCTCCTCCTCCCCCTCCTCTCCTCCCCCTCCTCCTCCTCCTCCTCCTCCGCCTCCTCCTCCTCCTCCGCCTCCTCCGCCTTCTCCTTCCTACCTGGGGGGGGGGCGCGCGAGGGCGCGCAGGTGATCGCGCGAGGCGCACCGCGGGGAGACTCCTCAGCCTTTCCTGAGATCCTGGCGACTCAATTGTTTCCAGCCCTGCGTTGTCGCCTCTTTTCTTGAGTCGGGCGGGCCTGTCCCTCTACAGGGGGAAGATTCCCAGATAGTCACAAAATAGTCCAGGGACGGTGTGTCGACAATTGCTGTGCATGTTTGGGTTATGTTTCGGGTATTTGTTTTTTTCCGTCCAAATCCGCCTGTATGGGGGACACGCCCGACCTAACTCTTTTCGGTCGGGCCCTGGGGCCCTCGCGGATCGATGCAGAACGAAAATGGACGCAGGAAGATGGTGTCTAGGGCTCCGGGCGTGATTCTGCACGATGCTGCAGTGCTTTCGCCACGCCGGATCTCACGGCTGGCGGGCCCTGGAAGCGACAGGGCGGTTTTTTGTTGCCGGTTCCGTTTCGCCGTTTTCTGTTATTGGTTCCGTCGTTGTTTTTGTTGTTGGTGTTGTCTCCGTGTTTGTTTCGCCGCTTGCGGTTCCGGCTCCAATTCTGGAGCTTGTCTTTTTTCTTGCCGTTTTTGGTCGTTTTGTTTACCGCTTCCATAGTTCAAGAGACATGACACCAGAGATAAACCCCAAGCAGTGGATGTTTTGAAATGGAATCGATCAAGAGATCGATAAGGAGATCGGTCGGGAACCCGGGAACCCCGAACCCACCGAAGTCGGCTTGGAACCACTCACCAGGAACCCGGGAGCTTGTCACCCAGCTGGCTACCAACATCGGCGGGAATCTGTTTTGCAAAATCTTCCCATTTCCGCTAGGACCCCGTCAGGGCAAGCCCTGATTGGGGAACTTTGCCAAGAACGGTGAAGGAAAGGGGCCCTGCCGTCGCCGGGGCCCCCGTGTAGGTCAGGAGTGGAAGCAACACATGGACACAAGTGATCGTCGATCCCCCAGAAAATGGGGGAAGATGTGGGAAGATGTGGGAAGGGGGGGGGGGGAAGACGAAAACCCAGCAAATATATGAGAAGATATGGGGAATCCTTTTCTTGTGTCTATTTTTATCTCGGGCCTGTCCCCCTACAGGGGGATTTTCTACGGAAAATGCAAAACACAAAGGCCAAAACATATTTTTTAAAATAGTCCCCCGACTATTTTGGACTATTGTTTGATTATTTGTGGGGTATGTTTCATTTTTCGTCGAAACTCCCCCTGCAGGGGGACAGGCCCGACTTAAGTGTACTTCTTTGTGTGCCCGCAGGGCCCCCGTGCAAAGGCGGGGAGGGCCCTCCTCTCCCACTGGGAGGGGAGCGGGGGACGCGCCGAGGAGAGGCGCCCGGGCCGAGGAGCACAGGCCAAAAAGGCGAGGAGGGGCGGCAACAAACACCCAGGAGGAAACGAAACACACGCCCAAGCCTGCGAGGAAACAAACACAACGCGCCCAAGGCGAAGAGGAAGCCACAAGAGGAGACCGAGGAGGGAGCGCCCAAGCCGAAGAGGAGGAAGCAACACACCGAGGAGGAGAGGAAGCAACACACCGAGGAGGAAACAAAAAAAAACGCCCACACCAAAGAGGAAACAGCAAGAGGAGACCGAAGATCAGAGGAGGAAAAAGGTACCCATACCTCTACCCTTCGCCCGTTTTCCCCTTTTTGGGCCTCCTCGGAGGCCCTCGTCGCCACCGTCGGATTCACCTCGCAATTCTGGTCAGAACGCACCCCGGGAGAGGTCCGGGGAGTAGAGGTATCGGTACGTACCTTTTGCTCTCCCCGGAAGAGGGAGCGCCCAAGCCGAAGAGGAGAAACGCCCAAGCCGAGAAGGGAGCGCCCAAGCCGAAGAGGAGGCCAAGGCAGAGGAGGAACGCCCAAGGCGAGGAGGAAGCAGGGCAGGAGAAGCGAGGGCTGCTCCTCGGTGTGGCTTCTGCTCCTCGGTCAGGGGGGGTCTCCTTCCCCCTCCTCCTCCTCCTCCTTCTCCTCCTGCTCCTCCTCCTCCTCCTCTCTCCTCCTGCTCCTCCTCCTGCTCTTCCTCCTCCTCCTGCTCTTCCTCCTCCTCCTCCTCCTCCGCAGGTCTCTCATGGCGCTTCCGCGGGTTGTCGGGAGTTCTTGTTGGCGCCTGGACGCTTGCTCGCCTCGCGGCGCGCTCTCTAGCGGCTGGGCGCGAGCGCGCAGAGTCGTGCGACCTGGTTTGGTCAAGCTTTCTTTGTTTAGGATTACGTCGGGCCTGTCCCTCTTCAGGAGGAGCATTCAAAAATAGTCCAAACAAATAGTCTGGGGACGATGCTTGAATAGTATTGTTTGACTAGTTGGGAATATGTGGTGACCATTTTTGATTTTCGCCCAAAATCCGCCTGTAGGGGGACATGCCCGACCCAAGTCCAGGAAGCTTGTCAATGACGCCAAACACGTTTTCTTGCGCTGCGCGGCGTCTGGCGGCGAACATTGGTGGGTGATGGATCCACAGTTGGCGTGGGGCGTGCGCCGTCATTTGCTGCCAGCCGTCTGCAGCTGGTTGTCGCTGTATGCCGCCATTTGCCGGTGGTCCGCCCCCTGGCTTGGCTTGGCATGGGGGTGGAGCGCCGACGCCGACGCCGAAGCTTTATCCCCCCCAGGTTCGAGCCCAGAAGGGGGCGGCGACGACGACGACGAGGACAACGCCGACGACGACGGCGACGACGACCGACGACGACGACGACGACGACGACGACGACGACGACGACGACGACGACACGACAGCGGCGGCGCCGACGGTGGACAACAGCGACAAGGACGACGACGACGAAGACGACGACGACGACGACGACGACGACGACGAGGACGAGGACGAGGACGAGGACGAGGACGAGGACGGCGACGAGGACGGCGACGACGAACTACGACGACACCTTGATTGAGATGGGCTTGCATATCAAAAACGAAAGCAATTTTACAAGCGTGTGAAGGATGTGCCAAATTGGGTTTGCGGGACGCATGCGGGCGGTCCCACTGGGGGGCTTCGGTGGAGCTCCCTATGGGGCCATGAAGCGTGTGCGGGGTGTGCCAAACTGGGTCTGGGGGCCGCATGCGGGCGGTCCCGCTGGGACTTTCGGTGGAGCTCCCTGTGGGGCCACGGAGCTATGTACCGGGCGAGTGAAACGCAGGGAGGAGGGGGAGGAGGGAGGAGGGGGAGGGAGGAGGGGGGAGGGAGGAGGGGGAGGAAGGATGCTGAGGAAGAACGCGGGGACCGTCTCTTCCAAACCAGGACCCAACGCCACAGGATGGCTGGGAAAAAAAAAACACGGCTCAGCCAGCCCCCGGGCCCTCGCCCAGGCTGGGCTATCGCGCCCCGTCGGCCGCGCCCCCGGCGCAGCCGGGCGGGGCCCTGGGCGCCCCAGGCGCCGCCGCCGCGGTCGGTCGCCTGCAGCTGCTGCCCTCGAGGGTGCTCCACGACTGCCGCCGTGCCGCCTCGGGCCGCGCGGCCTCCTCGCCCCCTCCTCTCTCGCACGTCCTCGTGCTCGGCCTCGTCCTCGTCCTTCTCCTCGGCCTCGGCCTCGGCGTCGCCCTCGCCTTGTGCTCCTTCGTCCTCGGCCGCGGCCTCGGCCTCGGCCTGCTCCTCGCCCTCAGCCTCGCCCTCGCCTCGTGCTCCTCGTCCTCGGCTTCGTTCTCGCCTTCAGTCGGGCCTGTCCCTCTACAGGGGCAATTTTCAAACATAGTCAGTTTTCATGTTTTTTGTTTTGAATACTATTGTTGAACATGTTGGAGTATTGCTTTACTATGTTTTGACTTCTCGTCCCAAATCCGTCTGTAGGGGGACATGCCCGACCTAATTCTCTCCCTGACACGCGTCCTCAGCCTCGCCCTCAGCCTCGCCCTCGTCCTTCTCCTCGCCCTGAGCCTCGCCCTCGCCTCGTGCTCCTCGTCCTCAGCCTCGACCTCGGCCTCGTCCTTCTCCTCGGCCTCGGCCTCGCCCTCGCCTCGTGCTCCTCGCCCTCGGCTTCGTTCTCGCCCTGACCCGGGTCCTCAGCCTCGCCCGCGTCCTCTTGCGCCCTCCGCCCTCGAGCCCCGTGGCCCACGCTGGCTGGGCCTCCGAAGGCTCCTCGGCGGCTTCCACCGTCTCGTCGCCTGCGGTTTTCGGGCGGCTTCGCCGCTGTCATTATATCGGGCCTGTCCCTCTACAGGGGGAACATTCAAAAATAGTAAAAAAAAAATCGGGGGACGATTTTCCTTGCATTTTTCCCAACCATCCTGTGGTGTTGGGTCCTCGTTTTGAAGAGACGGTGCCCCGCGTTCCTCTCCTTCCTCCTCCTCCCCCTCCTCCCTCCTCCCCCTCCTTGCCTCTGCTCTCGGCACACCTCTCACACGTTTCGTAGCCCCATAGGGAACTCCACCGAAGGCCCCAGTGGGGGTGTCCACATGCGGTTCCCCCACCCAGGGCAGCGTTTCGTAGCCCCAGAGGGAGCTCCACCGAAGGCCCCAGTGGGGGTGTCCACATGCGGTTCCCCCACCCAGGGCAGCGTTTCGTGGCCCCATAGGGAGCTCCACCGAAGGCCCCAGTGGGGGTGTCCACATGCGGTTCCCCCACCCAGGGCAGCGTTTCGTGGCCCCATAGGGAGCTCCACCGAAGGCCCCAGTGGGGGTGTCCACATGCGGTTCCCCCACCCAGGGCAGCGCTTCGTGGCCCCATAGGGAGCTCCACCGAAGGCCCCAGTGGGGGTGTCCACATGCGGTTCCCCCACCCAGGGCAGCGTTTCGTAGCCCCAGAGGGAGCTCCACCGAAGGCCCCAGTGGGGGTGTCCACATGCGGTTCCCCCACCCAGGGCAGCGTTTCGTAGCCCCAGAGGGAGCTCCACCGAAGGCCCCAGTGGGGGTGTCCACATGCGGTTCCCCCACCCAGGGCAGCGTTTCGTAGCCCCAGAGGGAGCTCCACCGAAGGCCCCAGTGGGGGTGTCCGCATGCGGTTCCCCCACCCAGGGCAGCGTTTCGTAGCCCCAGAGGGAGCTCCACCGAAGGCCCCAGTGGGGGTGTCCACATGCGGTTCCCCCACCCAGGGCAGCGTTTCGTAGCCCCATAGGGAGCTCCACCGAAGGCCCCAGTGGGGGTGTCCACATGCGGTTCCCCCACCCAGGGCAGCGTTTCGTAGCCCCAGAGGGAGCTCCACCGAAGGCCCCAGTGGGGGTGTCCACATGCGGTTCCCCCACCCAGGGCAGCGTTTCGTAGCCCCAGAGGGAGCTCCACCGAAGGCCCCAGTGGGGGTGTCCACATGCGGTTCCCCCACCCAGGGCAGCGTTTCGTAGCCCCATAGGGAGCTCCACCGAAGGCCCCAGTGGGGGTGTCCACATGCGGTTCCCCCACCCAGGGCAGCGTTTCGTGGCCCCATAGGGAGCTCCACCGAAGGCCCCAGTGGGGGTGTCCACATGCGGTTCCCCCACCCAGGGCAGCGTTTCGTGGCCCCATAGGGAGCTCCACCGAAGGCCCCAGTGGGGGTGTTGCGGTTCCCCCATGCGGTTTCCCCCACCGTGGGGGTGTGCGTTCGTGGCCCAGGGGGAGCTTTAGGGAGCTCCACCGAAGGCCCCAGTGGGGGTGTCGCATGCGGTTCCCCACCCAGGGCAGCGTTTCGTAGCCCCATAGGGAGCTCCACCGAAGGCCCCAGTGGGGGTGTCCACATGCGGTTCCCCCACCCAGGGCAGCGTTTCGTAGCCCCATAGGGAGCTCCACCGAAGGCCCCAGTGGGGGTGTCCACATGCGGTTCCCCCACCCAGGGCAGCGTTTCGTAGCCCCAGAGGGAGCTCCACCGAAGGCCCCAGTGGGGGTGTCCACATGCGGTTCCCCCACCCAGGGCAGCGTTTCGTAGCCCCATAGGGAGCTCCACCGTAGGCCCCAGTGGGGCTGCCCTCATGCGGTTCCCCCACCCAGGGCAGCGTTTCGTAGCCCCAGAGGGAGCTCCACCGTAGGCCCCAGTGGGGGTGCCCGCATGCGGTTCCCCCACCCAGGGCAGCGTTTCGTGGCCTCACAGGGAGCTCCACCGAAGGCCCCAGTGGGGCTGCCTGCATGCGGTTCCCCCACCCAGGGCAGCGTTTCGTAGCCCCAGAGGGAGCCCCACCGAAGGCCCCAGTGGGGGTGTTCGCATGCGTCTCCACTACCCAGAGGTAGCGCCGCCGAAAACGATATTCACACTTGCGGTATTCACAGTTGCATATGGTTGGGTCCTTCGCCAGGCTAATTTATTTTTTTATCGCTTCGCTCATTCCGCCGGCCCTGGAGCCCTCTTTGGGGCCTCTTGGGGCCTCTAGGGGACCTCTTGGGAGTCTCTTGGGGCTCCTTGGCGGCGTGTTGGGGGCCCCCAGGGCCTCTGGGGGGGCGCTGGGGGGCCTCTTGGGGCCGAAGGGGGGGTAGTCGATTGCGGCTCCCCCCTCGGAGGCCACGATCTTCGTGAGGGGTGTCGACAATTGGCCCTCCCTTTGAACGCTCTGGGGACCTTGACGGGGTACTTTTGGTCCGGGTCCCCCAGGGGCCGCTCCGCGCGCGTGAACTAGAAATATTGTTAACTAGTTACCGGAGATCTTAGCACGCCTCTGGCCCGTTGGGGCGGCGAATTTGCTGCAGTGTTTGACTATTTATAATTTTCCGTCCAAGATCCGCCTGTAGGGGGGCATGCCCGACCTAACGCCATCACTTGGCATCGCCCGCACGTGTGCATCTTCAGAGCCCCAAATCATCAGGGGTAAGTCGGGTCAGGGCTAACTCGGGTTCGTTTTCCAGGAATCCAAACCCGAGTTATCCCGGTTCCGAGTTACCCCGGATAACTCGGGCGCCGAATCTTTTCTCGGCAAGGACCATCGAGGAGCGTCCTGTCCCTCCACAGGGGGAATAATCAAAACTAGTCAAACCAAATAGTCTGGGGACGATGGTTTGACAAGTGTTGAGCACGTTTGGGTATTGTTTTTCGCCCGAACTCCCCCTGCAAGGGGACAGGCCCGACCTAAAGATAGGTCTATCGGTCTGGAGGGCTCTTGTTTGGCATTCTGGCAGGTCAGGATCGGTGGTTCGGCGGTCTGCCAGCCTCGGGGGGATCTCCGGCAGCCGCGCCTCGCAGAGAGGCGCCCCGGGGGAGCCTGGATCGTATCGAAGGGCCGCCGGAGACACGAGTTACGGTCGACCCGCATGGTAAGGATGGTCTAGGCCTCCTCTCTGGACGCCCGAAATGGGCACGGAAAGAACGGGTACGATGCCCAACAGCAGTTCTTGTTCATTCTGAACAGGATTCGCTGTCCACGCCGCCGCGGCCTGTGTCCATTCGAGACAGGAGGTCGCCCGCCCAACAGCGGCCGCTGTTGGTTTGGGACAACATTTGCTGTTGGGCATTGTGCCCATTCTTTCCGTACCCATTTTGGGCGTCCAAATCCTCGATGGGATCCGAGTAGAGGGGGTCGGAGGATCGCGCCGCATCGCCGACACATCGGCGACGTGGCTCGGTGCGGAGCCCGATTTTCTCCACGCTGGAGTCGCCGATGCATCGCCGAGGCATCGGCGGTGTATCGCCGATGCGTCGGCGATGCGGTGCGATCCTCTGACCCCATCTATTCCAACCCCATCTAGGAGGCCTCCAGATGGGCAGCCTTCCCAAGGGTACCTTACCTTCGCCAGCAAATCATGGGAGCCTGGGGTATCCTTTTCATGTTGTCTTATAGCTTATAGCGTCGATTACGTCGATAAGTGTTTGGGAGTCGATGGGACAGCGCCGAATCAGCGTCGTTTGGCGCCAACTAGCGTCGATTAGCGTCAATGTAGCGTCAATTAGCGTCGATTCGCAAGAGCCGACGAGATGGTATGGGAGCCTCCCATGAATTGCCACCGAACGTTGGGGAGAGGTTCAAGGATGAAATTGTGGTCAGGCGGGCGGCGACGGCCATGGCAGCGGCGGCGATCTTCGGCGAAGTTCTACGCCGGCCTCGTCTTTCCGTCGATGTTCGACGATTGTCACCGTCTTCATCGCGTCTGCCAGTTTCTATGATTTTTGGCGATTTCCTCCGTCGTCGTCGTTGCCGCCTTCAACGCCGTCGATCTTCTGTCATCTTCGCTGCCGTCATAGGCTTCGTTGGCTTCCAACGATATCCCATGATTTCTGATGATTTTCGCCCTGGTCGTTGCCGCGGTGTTCGCCGTCGATTTTCGGCGACGCTCGTCGCCGTCGTCGTCGTCGTCGTCGTCCGCGTCCGCGTCCGCGTCCGCGTCCGCGTCCGCGTCCGCGTCCGCGTCGTCGCGACGCGGATGGCACTCCACAGAGGAGCGTGGTGGATTTCGGGGAGACGCTGTAGGAGCTGCTGAAGCTGCTGGAGAGGGAGGAGGAGGAGGCACGCCAGGCAGAGGCGAAGCCTTCGAGCGAGGCGCCCGCGCGGAAGCAGGGAAGGGTGCAGCTCCGGGCTGGAGCTCGGCGGGGGCTCGGAGCAGGAGCCGCCCGGAGGCAGGGGGCGAGGCCGCGGAGGCGGTGCCTGCCAAAGAGCGGCTCGAGGGAGCAGAGGAGAGCGCTGCGATGCGGCAGGGAGGTGCGGCTCCGTCCGCCCGCGGACGTGGCCGGGGGCCTGCGGGGCCGCCGAGGATAAGCTCTGCTGGAGCTGGGCGCCGAGGCGGAGGCCACGGCGGCGCTGAGGGCTCGCGAGGCAGGCGAGAGGAGGGAGGCCCCTTGGTCGGGACCCAGCTGTACACCCAGGCCTCCGCAGACCCGATCTTCTCGAATCACGGGCCTCCTCCTCCTCCCTCCTCCTCCTCCTCCTCCTCCTCCTCCTCCTCCTCCTCCTCCTCCTCCTCCTCCTCCTCCTCCTCTCCCTCCTCCTCCTCCTCCTCCTCCTCCTCCTCCTCCTCCTCCTCCTCCTCCTCCTCCTCCTCCTCCTCCTCCTCCTCCTCCTCCTCCTCCTCTCCTCCTCCTGGGCCAGGGAAGAGGAGGAGGGGTGCGCAGCCCGAGGAGAGGAGGGCCTGCGGCCTGCGAGCAGGCAGCTGAGGCCCAGCGCGGCGGCGCGAGGGGGCCACGGGGCCGCTTCCACGCGGGGAGGCAGCGAGGTGGGGCAGGCCGCCGAGACTTGGAGGACGCCAGCTCCCGAGGAGGCTTAGGAGGCTGAGGAGGAGGAGGTTGAGGAGGAGGAGGAGGAGGAGGAGGAGGAGGAGGAGGAGGAAGAGGAAGGGGAGGAGGAGGAGGTGGAGGAGGAGGAGGAGGAGGAAGAGGAGGAGGAGGGAGGAGGAGGAGGAGGACGAGGAGGAGGAGGGGGCGAGGAGGAGGAGGAGGAGGAGGAGGAGGAGGAGGAGGAGGAGGAGGAGGAGGAGGAGGGGCGAGGAGGGCCCGCGAGGAGCGGGGCCTCGCGCGAGGCGCGTTGGCGGCCTCCGAGGGAGCCCCGAGGAGGCGGGCGGGGCAGCAGCGCCTGGACCTCGCGTGCGCGGCCGCGCGCGTTCCGCGCCCGGGCGCCCGGCGGACGGAGGACCGACCGCTTGCCAGCATCCCATGTTGCTTCAACAGGTACTCCGCCACCGGGTTCATGGAAAAGGCGCTCCTTTTCGGGGGAGCGTAAGACCCGGGTTTGCCAGGACCCGGGTTCGCCCTCGTTTTTTTTGACGACCGCGACTCGGATTTTGACGAGTAGGAGTTTCGTGGGATGTCTGCAGCGGGAGGCCTCGTCAAAATGCAGGCTCGGCCTCGTCATTTTTATGAGGGCCCCGTCGGGGATTTCCGAGTCCCCCGTACCCGGGTCTTACGTCTCCCCGACCTTTGCAAGTGCGTCGGCTACGGCACCGCCTGTTCCCGAGGCTTTGCCTCCTCCCGGCCTCGTTCTGAGGCTGCGCCCCCCGTTTCCTCCCCCATCTCCGGTTGATTCAAGCTTCGCGCGGCCCGCTTAGCTTCGACCGGAAGAGGTGCGCTCTCGACCCGCGAGTCAAAAAACCGTTTGCCGGAATCCGCAACTTCGTCGCCGTCGCCCGACGATTCTCGACGGCCGTCGCCGCCGTCGCCGGGCTTCGACGACGTTCGGCGAGAGGGGCCACCAGTGGCCCCAAATTGCCACTCTCAGGGCCACTGTTGGGATCGAAGGCACCGCCAGGACGGCATATAGTGGCCCATGCCGTTCTGGGACGATCCCAGGGTGGAGTCAAGAGATCACAACATGGGTCAAGAGATGCTACAGGTGCCCCAGGACCCCCACCCGACGTCCCAACTCTGCAAAGCCATACGTCGGGTATTCAGCGTTTTGTGTTGTCAGTCGGTTGTTCTATGTCACGTTGCCGTTGGATGAGGGAACCAGGGATGTGTTGGAGGAGGGGCAGCAGCGGCGACGAAGAGGGGGATGACAAGCAGGAGGAGGAGAGAAGAGGAGCAAGCGGGGGGAGAAGGAATGGTGGAGGGGGATGAGATGGAGGAGGGGGAGGGGCAGGGAGAAGGAGGACGAGGGAAGGGGCAGAGGAGGAGGGAGGAGGAAACAGAATGAGGGTGAGGGCTGTCGGCAAGATGGTAAGGAGGAGACAGAGGAGGCAAGGGAGGAGCAGGAGGAGGGGGGGGAGACAAAAACGACGCGAAAGGAACATATGACGACGGCGAGGGGAGGAGGACGACGGGCCCCCGGAGTACAGGTGCCGTGCAGGTGCCCGGAGGCCAAAAAAGACTGACGACGCCCGAAGGCCCTAATCTTCAAAGACGACGACAGCCACCACTACCACCATCACCACCACCACTTCGACGACGACGACGACGCCGACGGCGACGATGGCAACGAGAGTCCTCGCCGACGGCGACGGTACCGACGACGAGCACCCCCCCCAGGCGCAATGGCGCCCCCGATGGGGATGGCCGCCCCAGGCGCGATGGCGCCCCCGATGATGCGGCGCTGAGGGCTCTCGCGCGCGGCTCGGGCGTGGTCGTCGTCGCCGTTTTTGTCGTCGTTGTCAGAGGTGGAGGAGGAGCGGGAGGAGGATGTGGAGGAGGAGGAGGAGGAGGAGGAGGAGGAGGAGGAGAAAGAGGAGGAGGAGGAGGAGGAGGAGGAGGAGAAGGAGGTGGTGGTGGTGGAGGAGAGGGGCGAGGGGAGCGTAAGACCCGGGTTTGCCAGGACGCGGGTTCGCCCTCGTTTTTTTTTGACGACCGCGACTCGGATTTTGAGAGGAGTTTCGTGGGATGGCTGCAGCGGGAGGCCTCGTCAAAGTGCAGGCTCGGCCTCGTCATTTTTTTGACGACCTCGTCGGGGATTTCCGAGTCCCCTGTACCCGAGTCTTACAGGGGGAGGAGTGGGGCTGGATGACGGGGTAGGGGGGGGAGCAAGCTGGGTGCGCGTGCGCCATATCTGACATCCCACCCCTCCCACCCAGCCCTTGTCATTGCGCTGTGGGTTTGCTACTAGCCGACGCGTGTCAGAATGGATCTGAAACTCCAGCAAAGACCCCTATCGTGTTATGCGCAATCGGAAGAAAAGGAGCTGCGTACAGAGAAAGAGGAGGCGGCTGATGAGCAGGAGCAATACAGGAAGGGGGATTATGAAGATGGGAGACGAGGATGAACAGCAGCAAGAGTTGGAGTGGAAGGAGCGGGAGGAACAGGAAGACCAGGGGAAGGCGGAGGAGGGGAATGAGGGGGGCGACAACGATGAAAACGGGCACGGGTCCATAACAAGAGCATCGTTGGGGCGCAAGCGCCATCGTGAACGACGGGAGCAAAGAGCCGATCCGACAATGAGGCCCATGCTGCAGCGGATGGGAGCACCATTTCGAAACACAGCAAGCCGTAGAACAAACATCGGGGGGAAACAAACACGACAACATGTTGGAAGTTCTGCGTGTAGGGAACCGGAGAGGGCCGAATATCTTCCGACAAGGTCAGAGGAGAGAGGAGAGCAGTCTGATTGACTCTTCGCTTGACCCCATCAGCCCATCCAGCAACGATGCCCCTGCGACTTTCCGCCTCGGGTCAGCCTGAGCAAGCCCGTCAAGCCTTCGCGGAGTTTTCGCTCCGCGAGCCTCTTGGAAGTTTCTCAGAGTCCTGTTGGCAGCGATTTGGGCCCGTCTGGAGACGCTTTTGGGGCCTCTGATGGAGGGGGGGTATTGGAGCCCTTTGGGGGCGATCTTGCAAGCGTTGGTTCAAAATGGATGCTGTTTTCGGCGTCCCCACCCCATGGGAGACTGACAAATCGCTTCTTGGGGCGCTCTGCGGGCGCTCTTGAGCGCCTTTTGGGCGCTTCGGGGGCCGTACGGGAAGCCCCTTTGAATCATGTTGGGGCTCTCGTGGGCCATCTTTGGGCCACATTGAGGCCTCAAAGGCCCATCGGAAGCGAAAAGGCGAGGATGCAAGTTCTGAAAGAGTTCGGCCTCTGGGGAAGGGTCCTTGGAGGGCTCCGGGAGCACCACTAACCGCCTTGGGGGCGTCTTGGAGCCTCTTGGAGGTTTGTCGGAGACTATATTGAATCATGTCCAGCTATCTGGCACCATCTTGGGCCGTCTTGGGCGCTCTAAAATTTCGCGCCCACCCCCGTCCAGACCTAGGGAGGGGTGGCGGGGACGTCCAACCGCCCCGAGTAGGGGAAAGGAGGATCTGGAAAAGGAATCGCGCTAGACTACCTGCGCCCAGAGGGCTGGTGGGATTCATAATGCGGTATAATGGAGAGGGAGGAAAGAGGAGGAACAGGAAGAAGAGGAGGAGGGGGGAGGAGAAACTATTCCCCGATAGCTCTTGAGAGCTAAGAGCTTCTCAGATTAAGAAGCCAGAGCCGCAGTGTAGCCCAGAAGCTCGTTCGGGCTTCCGGCAGGACACTTCGGCGGGGCTCCTGCGAGCTTGCAGCGTGTCCCTGCAGGCATTGCCTAAGCGCTTCCCAATACGTATGCCTCGAAGTTCTCCAGAAGCTCTTTCGGAAGCTCCTTCCAGTGCTGCGACAGCTCCGTCGTGCTGGCGCTCCACTATCTGGGCTTGGACTCTACAAGTGAGGAGCAGGAATGCGTAGGAGGAGAGGAGGGCCGGGGACGTCAACCGCCCCGAATAGGGGAAGGGATGACTTGGAAAAGGAATCGCGCTAGACCACCTGCGCCCAGGGGGCTGGTGGGATTCATAATGCGATATTGTGGAGGGGGGAAGAGACGGAGCAGGAAGAAGAGGAGGAGGAGGAGGAGGAGGAGGAGGGGGGAAGAGGAATATGAGGAGCAGGAATGCGTAGGAGGCGGCGGGGGAGGAGGAGGACGGTGTTCTTCCTGCTCGGTACCCTACTCTCCCATCCTCTCGCTCGTTCTTCTCTTGTCCATCCCCTTTCTCTCTCCGCCCCCCCTCCGCATCCCCACCCTTGGGGAAGACGTAGGAGGACGAGAAGGAGGAGGAGGAGGAGGAGGAGGAGGAGGAGAAGGAGGAGGAGGAGGAGAAGGAAGAAGAGGAGGAGGAGGAGGAAGAGGAGGGGAGGAGGAGGAGGATGAGGATGAGGAGGAACGGGGCGAGTATGATAACATAGACGGAGAGGATAGGGGGGGGGGGGGTCAGTTAGGGGGGGGGGGGCGCGCAAGGGGGGGAGTTGCGGTCTCGATGTGTTCTGTGGAGTTCTGCTTCCTGCCTTTGCACTCGGACACCGCCTGCACCCGTCGCGGAAGACGATCGTTGCGGTGTGGGGGGGGGTGAGGGGGGGCAGGGGCGGAGGAAGGGGGAGGGGGAGGGGGAGGAAGAGGGGGCGAGGGAGGCGCAGAAGGGCGAAGGAGATTGAGGAGGGGGAGGAATCGGACGGAGCAGATGGGGCGTTCACGCGGCTTGCCCTGCGTGTCTGGCCGTCCTCCATGTCGCACCGTCGCGCCATGCCGTGACGTCAGCATCATGGCGGGACGCTTGGGCTACTTGCCCCCCAGGGGGAGAATGAGGACGAAGACGGGGAGGAGGAGGAGCAGGAAGAATACGAAAGGGGAGGAGACGGGGAACACGGAGAGAAGGAGAAGGAGGACGACGAGGAGGAGGAGGAGGAGAGGAGGAGACGGAGGAGGAGGAGGAGTGGGCATTCGCTGTGTGAGGACAGGGACAGGGACGGACAAAAAGGCGAATAAGGAAGAGTGGCAGAAGGAAAGGCAGGGGGAAGAAGGGGGAGAAGGACAAGAGGGAATGGGAGAGAAGCGAAGGAGGAGGGAGGAGCGGGAGGAGGTAGGAGGGGGGTGGGGAGAAGGGAGCGGAGAAGGGGGCAGTAGGGAAACGGAAGGACGGAAGAGAGAGAGCAGAGAGGAAAAATGGGGTAGTGTGGTCAACGAGGAGGGAGGAGTAGGAAGAGGAGAGGGAGGGGCGAGGAGGGTTGGAGGCAACCGCCAGGAGGGAGGTGGAGGAGGAGGAGGAGGATGAGAAGGAGGAGGAGGAGAACTACGAGGTGGTGGAGGAGGAGGAGGAGAACTAGGAGGTGGACCATGAGGAGGACGAGGAGGAGGAGGGGAACTACGAGGAGGAGGAGGAGGAGGAGGAGGAGGAGGAGGAGAACTAGGAGGTGGACCATGAGAAGGACGACCGCAGCCCGCGGCCCGCGGCCCGCGGCCCACGCCCACGGCCACCACCACAGCTTACCGCTTACCACCCCCACGTCGGCCGCGACCGCCACCGCGACCACCAGACGACGAACGACGACGACGACGACGACGACGACGACGACGACGACGACGACGACGCCGACGCCGACGCCGACGCCGACGCCGACGCCGACGCCGACGCCGACGCCGACGCCGACGCCGACGCCGACGACGACGACGACGACCGCGGTGCGGCTGCTGGCCCCCGAGCGTTACGGAGGCGCTGCTGCCCCCGGCTGCTGCCGGCCCCCGGCTGCTGCCCAGCGGAGGCGCTGCTCGCGGCGGCCTGGCGGGGGATGCCGTACCTCCCGACAGCGCGTTGTCGCGAGGAGCCGCCGCGCACGTCGCGCACCTGCGCAGGAGTGGGCCACCGAGGAAAGCGCAGTGCGCTACGTGACGTTCCGCGCCCTGCGCTCTGTGATGCAGCACCGTCGCGCGCAACATGGCACGACGACGCCGCGCGCGATGTGGGCACGCGCCATGTGGGTGCCCTGCATTCCGCCGCACCTCCCGGGAGACCACGAGACTGGCGCCGCTTCTGTTCGCGGCCCCCGCCGGCTTTCACTCGGCTGCAGGCGCGTTCGAATGTTGCACGCCTCGCGTATCCCCACCAGTTTGCTTGCCTCCTGTTTGTTCCTCTCCCCGCTTTCTCCTTCGTTTCTTTCTTGTCCCCTCTCTGTGCGCGTGCTTCAGGCCGCCGCTTGCTCGTTGCGCCCTTGGCGCCGCCCGACTTCTCTCGACGCGGTCGCGATCAAAAAAGTACCCCCGCCAGTCCGTTCAGAAGCCCTGCCCACGAGGGCTGACGGGAAAAGAGTCGAGGAAACACACATAGTGAAACAAAGCGGCCAATCAGGATGACCAGAGAGAGCTCTGGGAGCAAGGGGGTGGCCTTGGAGGGCCTTTTCGGGCCATCCGTGGGGCCCGGCGGGGCGAGGGGAGGGGGGAGAAGGAGGAGGGGAAGGAGGAGGAAGAGGAGGAGGAGGAGGAGGAGGAGGAGGAGGAGGGGGAGGGAGAGGAGGAGGAGGAGGAGGACGAGACGGAGGAGCAGGAGGAGGAGGAGGAGCAGTGTAAACTCAAGAGATTTCAGCGATGTTGGAATACACCCTCCTTCGAAGCTCTCTCTTAATAGGCCCCTGCGCCCCTGCGACGGTTCATTTCCCTTGAGGGATATGCCTCGTTGGAACGCAACGTTGTGAAGACCCAGATGCATGCCGAAACATGGTTTTAGGGATTCCAACGCCACGGATCAACTTGTTTGTTGCGTCTTGACGATCCTGGATCGCGCCAGAACGCCACTCTCTGGATTTCAACACCGAGAATCAACGCAACGGTTGCGCCCGCAAAATGCAGAATCCTCTAAAGATACCATTTCTGGTACGCTGATCGCGCGAATCCGTGAAACTCTTGCAGATTGTATGAACGACTGTGCGCGGCGCAAAGGCGAGAGCCACAGTTTGAAAAGGAACCGCCCTCAATCCGTGAAACTATTGCGAATGTTTAGAACGAAAGTGCGCGGCGCGAAGGCGAGAGCCACATTTTGAAAACGGGTGATTCTCAATTCGTGAAGCTTTTGCAATTTGTTCGAAGGAAAGTGCGCGGCGCTAAGGCAAGAGTCGCATGTTGAAACCGGGTGATCTTCAACCTGTGAGAACGAATGTGCGCGGCGCTAAGGCCAGAACAACATAATGAAAACCAGCCGCCCTTCATTTGTGAAACTGCTGCCAGCGCTTAAGCTTCAGAATCATCAGCGGTGAGGAGGAGGAGGAGAACGAGGAGAACGAGGAGAACGAGAAGGAAGCAAACCGGTTTTTGAGGCCTTTGTGGGACTTGGGCGCTCATGTGGCCGTCTTGTGGCCGTCTTGGGAGGGCGATCCACGCACCCCCGGAACGCCCTCGGCGAGACGCAGTTGCTGGAGCGCATCTTGAGACTGGAAAGCCGCCGAGGGTTGATGACAACGACCGAAAAATTTGAACACCGAACCCGAAACTCCCGAAATGGTCCTTTTCTGGGCTCACCGCCAGGAAGAGCACTCATCTCACAGCGGACGGCGACTGCGACGGCAGCGACGACAACGACAACGACGACGACGACGAAGACGACGACGACGACGTCGACGACAAGGAAGAGCAATCATCGCGGCCTCTGAGGGCTCTTCGTGGACCCCGCAGCCGTCGAGAAACAACTCGGGATGGAAGACTGGCCCCAGATCGTTAAGGGCTTAACGACTTCTGCCGCCCCTCGATTCGCGCTGGAGAGGCCACAAGTGTCAAGTCGGGCGTGTCCCTCTACAGGGGAAATATCCCAAATAGTCAAAGAAATAGTGTGGGGACGATTTGTTTGACTATCTTTGAGTATTCAGGGGGTATTTATTGTATTCTTTATTTTTCGCCCAAAATACCCCTGTAGGGGGACAGGCCCGACTCAAGCTTAACGACTTCTGCCGTCCTCGATTCGCACTGGAGAGGCCACAAGTGCCTCCACATGTCCATGAAATTCTTTGGATTACTTGGGCTCATTCAGATTTACTTGGATGTACCTCGATTTGTCTGCGTTCACCCTGGTCTATCCGGCTTGATCCATGCAAACCGGTTGGCGAAGATTGGCCCCAGGGAAGGGGTCGAGACTTGTTGGGTTCTACATTGTGAGAGGTTGTGAGATCTAACATCGCAAAGAAAACAACATCTCACAAAACTCGATCGCAGCCCTGGACCCTATCGTTCTGCTTCGCGTTTCGAGCCGGATCGATCCGTGAGGGTCCCGGAGACCGCGGCAAGGCAGAAGCGTTCGTTGTTCAAAACAAAATGCGGTGCCAGGATCTCTCAGCACAATGCTGACTAGAAGCCATGCGCCAGCCCTTGGCACAACGGTTCGGCACCACTGCTGCCACATAGCCAGGTTTCCAACAGGACGCGTGGGCAGAAGAGTGCGCGATTGGCACCCCTCTTGGAGAAAATAGCGCAATCGAGACGGCGCGACGACTCGACGGTAAAGCAGAAGAACGAATCAGGACTGCGTCACATGAATGCAGAGAGCCCGACTGTGAATCGAAGAAGAAAAAAAGCCATAAACATAGACTGTTGGCGCTCCGCGCGGATTTCATGGATCCGCGCTTGGGCCCCTTGGCGGCGCCTCCGGCGCCGCCCCTGTCGCGCTCCGCGCGCCAGGGAGGGGGTTCCAGCGCGGAGCCAAGAAGTCCGCGCTCGGCGCGAAGAGTGCATGTCTGTGGCGTGTCTTGTGTTCCTCCAGACTGCGAAGCAGGTAAAAGCAGGATCTCTCAGGGGGACGGGGGGGCAGGAGGAGGAGGAGGAGGAGGAGGAGGAGGAGGAGGAGGAGGAGGGAGGAGGAGGAGGAGGAGGCGGAGGGAGGCGGAGGCGGAGGCGGAGGCGGAGGCGGAGGAGGAGGAGGAGGAGGAGGAGGAGGAGGAGGAGGAGGAGGAGGAGGAGGAGGAGGAGGAGGAGGAGGAGGGAGGGGAGGAGGGGGAGGAGGTTCCCACGACGCTGGCGGGCCTGGGCACGATCGCACGATCGCACGATGGCATTTTCCACTTCCCAGGGCCGAGGCCCCTCCGCGCGGCGCGCGTCGGTGCGGAGTCCGCGCTATGCCGGGCTGCATCGCTCCGGGCCCGGATCTCCCGCGAAGTGGTGGCAGCGCGCTTCCCTCCCCCTCCTCCTTCCCCTCCTCCTCCACCTCCTCCTCCCCCCTCCTCCTCCTCCTCCCTGCCTCATCCCCTCCTCCTGCTGTTCGTCGTCGTCGTCCTCCTCTTCTCCTCTTTCTTCTTTTCATCCTCATCCTCCCCCTCTCTCTCTCTCTTTCTCCCTCTCTCTGCCCTCTCTTTCTCACTCCTCCTCCTCCTCCCTCTTCCTCCTCTTCCTCATCCTCCTGCTCCTCCGCCTCCTCCTCCTCCTCCTCCTCCTCGTCATCATCAGCATTATCATCATCACCACCACCATCGTCATCACCAGCAGCATCATCATCGCCAGCATCATCTTCACTATCCGTAACCATGTTGGCTGAATTTCGAAACGTGCGTCGTTGGCGCTTCGAAGTTGGACGCTTCCGACGGAAGGATCAAGCGCTGGATCAAGCGTTGCTCTCGAGGTTCGGCCTCGCGCTGTTTGCCGTCCGCCAAAGCACGCTATGTTTTGACATTTTGTCCTATTCACCATCCGTCTTCCTGTCTCTCCATGGCGACTCTCGACAGTATCATGCACCTGCTGAGGCAGCAACACCGCTCACACCCCAGAGGACGAGATCAAGAAGCCCATTCAAGACACCAGCGATCTAGTGCAGGCTGCCCACTCGGCCTCCAACCAGCTCGCTGCCAGGATGCTCTTGATGCAGACGGCGAACGACGACTTTGTTTTGCCAAGCCAGCGAGAGCGAGAGAGAGAGAGAGAGAGAATGAGAGAACAACCACAACAACAACAAAACTCAACGAGAGGCGCGGTGGCAGAAGGTGTCCTCTTGACGGCTGCGAGCAGATGATCGACGAACATGTTGAGCCCAGCCACAACAAAGCAAGGAAGATCAGCGCACTTGTGGTCAGCGTCGACGACGGCTCCGCCTACCCCACCAGCGTATGGGTTCGTGGCTTCCCGCGGAAGGTGCTCGAAGCAAAGCTCGGCGACCACTTCGCCACTCAAGATCCGCATGCCTTTCCCTTGCCGTGAGAAGTGCGTTGCGTGGGCAAGCAGTCTTTCCACATCCAGTGTGATCCAGTCCGATGGCCAGCAGGACGTGACGAATTTGCATGATCAGCTACGGCTCGCCCCGCCGAAATGCAGGGATCCCAGGGACCACACCATCCGTGCATAGGGGGTCGGTCGGGGCTTGCCGATCGACGTTCGTAATCGCAGACTCGCCCTCCGCAGATACTGGAGAATCTGCGAGGACCTCATCGTGCGGAAGAGCGTCTGACGCCCAAAGATGAAGCCCGGCTGCAAACCGTGCCAAAGCGTGTGCTTCTTCATGTACGATGGCGCGCCCTGCGAGATGGTCAAGTGCACCGACGCGATGGGTGGCCGACGCGATGGGTGGCCAAGCAGGCAATGCCGGCAGGCGCTTGCCAATTGTTTGATTTGGCCTTGTTGTTCTTGGGAGATATGTGTGTGTGTGTTTCTCTCCTCTTTTCCTCCCCATCCTCCACCCCCGTCCTCCCCTCAGGGGCAACGTCAGGTGTGGGATAGGTTCCTGGGAGGATGCATCAACTTCACACGTTTCGTGGCCCCATAGGGAGCTCCACCGAAGGCCCCAGTGGCTGCGCTCGCATGCGGTTCCACCCCCCATTCTGGCACACCCCTCACACGTTTCGTGGCCCCATAGGGAGCTCCACCGAAGGCCCCAGTGGCTGCGCCCGCATGCGGTTCCACCCCCTATTCTGGCACACCCCTCACACGTTTCGTGGCCCCATAGGGAGCTCCACCGAAGGCCCCAGTGGCTGCGCCCGCATGCGGTTCCACCCCCCATTCTGGCACACCCCTCACACGTTTCGTGGCCCCATAGGGAGCTCCACCGAAGGCCCCAGTGGCTGCGCCCGCATGCGGTTCCACCCCCCATTCTGGCACACCCCTCACACGTTTCGTGGCCCCATAGGGAGCTCCACCGAAGGCCCCAGTGGCTGCGCCCGCATGCGGTTCCACCCCCCATTCTGGCACACCCCTCACACGTTTCGTGGCCCCATAGGGAGCTCCACCGAAGGCCCCAGTGGCTGCGCTCGCATGCGGTTCCACTCCCCATTTCGGCACACCCCTCACACGCTTCGTGGGTGGCTCCATGGGGAGCTCCACCGAACGCCCCAGTGGCTGCGCTCGCATGTGGTTTCCCCCCCCATGTCGGCACACCCCTCACACGTTTCGTGGCCCCATAGAGAGCTCCACCGAAGGCCCCAGTGGCTGCGCTCGCATGCGGTTCCACCCCCTTTTTCGGCACGCCCTTCACACGTCTCGCGGCCCCATAGGGAGCTCCACCGAACGCCGCAGTGGCTGCGCTCGCATGCGGGTCCACCCCCCATTTCGGCACACCCCTCGCACGTTTCGTGGCCCCATAGGGGGCTCCACCAAAGGTCCCAGTGGCTGCGCTGGCATGCGGTTCCACACCCCATGTTGGCACACCCCTCGCACGTTTCGTGGCCCCATAGGGGGCTCCACCAAAGGTCCCAGTGGCACTGCCCGCTTGCGTCCGCCACCACCCAGCACAGCCCTTGTTCCCTGCGCTTCACCCACCCAGAACAGCGCTTCGTAGCCCTATAGGGAGCTCCACCAAAGGTCCCAGCGGCACCGCCCACATGCGTCCGCCACCACCCTGCACAGCCCTTGCTCCCTGCCTGCGTTTCACCCACCCAGTACAGCGTTTCGTGGCCCCATAGGGAGCTCCACCGAAGGTCCCAGTGGCACCGCTCGCATGCGTCCGCCACCACGCAGCACAGCCCTTGCTGACCGCGTCTCACCCACCCAGTACAGCGTTTCGTGGCCCCATAGGGAGCTCCACCGAAGGTCCCAGTGGCACCGCCCGCATGCGTCCGCCACCACCCAGCACAATTGCGGCATTCACAACTGCATATGGTTGGGTCCTTCGCCAGGCTAATTTCCAAAATTCTGTTCCCGCTGAAGCGCTAGCCTCATTTTCGCGCTTCCACTCGTTCCGAATCGTGCTCCTGCTGCAGCGCTGGCATCATCTCCGCGCTTCCGCTCGTTCCGCATCGTGCTCCCGCTGCAGCGCTGGCTTCAGTTCCTGGTTTCCGAACGTGTTCTGACAATCCGGTTCTCCTCAGTCCTTCGAAATGTTGCTCCCGCTGCAGCGCTGGCCCCTTTTCCAACACGTGCTCCCGCTGTAGCGCGGGCGTTGATCGGTCCTTCCAAGTAGGCCCGAATTTAGAAAATGACTTCCAGAAAACAATATCGCAATTGAGTACACATCCTGTGTCGATTCGTTGAGTTTTTGGGCCGCAGAAGGCCCCACTTCGGAGCGGCGTCGTTTGGAGATGTTGCAAGCAAAGCCAGCTGGTGCTCTCAATCAGCCCCGCCTTGTGGGGAGTTTTCCAGGGAGCCCAGGGAGGTAAACACGGAGCCGCGATTCCAGACCAGGCCCAGACCCTCCAAGGAACCCGGCGCCTTGCCATGACATGTTGTGTGGTGTTTTGTTTTTCGCCGCTGTGCGATGCCATGTTTTGCGTTGCAACGATTTGCAATGCAACTCTTCACTGCGCAACGCCACGCCATGCTATGGCATGCTACGCTCTGCCGTGCATCTTAACGCCATGCCATGCTGTGCTCTACGATGCATCGCGCACCCTGTCGCGTTCATTGCCCTGCCCGATTGCGCGAGTAGAGAGGAAATCTACGCCACGGTAAGGCATGGGAGGGAGGGGTAGGACGTCAGGTATGACGCGAGCGCCCCTAGCTTGTCCTCCCCTCCCTCCCCTCCCCTCATCCCCCCCATCCACACTTACACGAAAGGAATGGAATACGTTTTTCTCCTCTCCCCCCCACGGGATAATACAAATGTGGCCCCGCCCACCTCCTCGTGCAGCTTTCACACAGGACCTCAGAAGCTGTTGCTTCGTGGGTGTTGCTTACGGTCCGATCGCATCCGTTGTCTCAAAAGCGGTGCTCCCGCTGCAGGGTGGGCCTCAGTTTCGGATCGGCGCGCTTTGCTGTCGTCGGTCCGAACGGCGCTCCTCCCCCCAGCGTGGGCCACTTCTCGGGACCCGACCGAGACTAGCTGAATAGGGGAACAACAAGTGACATAAACATACAAACTCGGAGGTTCGCGCGGACCTCCGAGTTGTTTAGGTTTATGTCGCTTTTTGTTCCGCTAATTGTGGTCCCCCCTTCATTTCCCCCCTCAGCCTTTCACTGGATTGATCCTGTTCCTCCCTTTCCTTCCCCTTTCAGTTCCTGCTGCTGCTGCTCGTCCCGCCGCAGTGAGGGCAACTTTTCTGACTCCGACCGAGTCTTTTTTCATCGTTGTCACCCCCGCCGTTCCCTAGTCCTCCTTCTCTTCTCTATCATTCCGGTTTAGCTCCTGCTGCTGGTGCTGCTGCTGCTGTTCGTCCTCATCCTTGTCCTCCCGTTCATTTTCCTGCTCACCCGCCACCTCCTATTCCTCCTGTGCACGCAGCTCCCTGGTTTGTCCGATTGCGCATGCCACGAAGCGGTTTCTCTTGGGAGTCGCAGGTCGGCTATGACTCGCGCCCGCGGATACTGAATCATCAGCACAAACGGACGGGAGGGAGGGAAAGGATGTCTGATGAGGCGCGGACGCGTGGGCGCACCCAGCCTGTCCTTCCTCCCTGTCTTGCTCCCTCCCTCCTCCCTCCTCCCTCACGCCTCCTCGCTCCTCCCTCCTCCCTCCTCCCTCCTCCCTCCTCCTCCTCCTCCTCGTCCTCCTCCTCCTCCTCCTCCTCCTTCTCCTCCCCCTCCTCCTCCCCACGCTTCTCATTCCTCCTCCTCCTCCTCCTCCTCCTCCTCCTCCTTCCCTGTCCTCCCTCCCACCTCTCCCTGCTCCCACGGGCGGCGCCGCGGCTCTGCCAGCCTCCCCCCCCCCTGGCCGTCGCCTGGGGGCCCGGGCCCATCGCGCGGGCGCGCCCGCCCGCCTGCCGTCGCGCGCTGCCGGCCCTCCAAGAAAAAGAAGGGGGAGCCGCCGCCGCCATGGCCGGCGGCGAGCGAGGGAGGAGGAGGAGGAATTGAGGAGGGGAGGA